TGTGTATGTGTGTGTGTGTGTGTCTGTGTCTGTGTCTGTGTCTGTGTCTATGTTTCTGTGTGTGTAGGACACAGCTGGACGTGGGGAGTGCACTTACTGCTGTGACACCCATCTATCCTTGTGTCCCCATGTCCTGTAGATGCCATCCCCATATCTAGGCACTCACATGTGGCGACACATCTCCTGCAGCTTTTCCCGGGCCTCAGGACAGGGGTCCTGGAACTCGATGATGGAGCTTTCAGGAGGGGTTCGGACTCTAGCGAGGGGGGGTGTGATCTCATCAAAAGCCTTTTTGCCTAGAGGTGAGGAGACAAAATATGGTGGCCTTTAGAGGTGAGTTCTTGAGTGTCACTTCTCCTGGGGGACAGCTGCAGAACATATTAGGAGGCTCTTTTGTGCTCTAGCGATGGAGATCAGTGTCTACTAACTCAGCCAGTAAATAATTAAAAGTACATCAGAGCTGAGAAACACAGTGATGAATAACGATGAAGTGGGGCTTAATGCTGATGCCTCCATAGCCCCCTAAAACCAGTCCCCTTTTACCAAGGACAGTGAAGCATGAGGAAGGCAAGTCACAGGGGCAGCCAGGATGGGTGAAGACTTGGCTTCCAGCTTCTCAACTTCCAGCCTTACCTCCAGTGTCTGTGGGAATCAAAGGGGTAACATGAGTCAACCCTGCCCTCCTTCACTACCCAATCCTCCCCTGCCTGTCTGTCTAGTCCATGCTGGCAGGGTAAGTGGAAGGTCCTGAGGCCTCTCCTACTCCCAGAAGGCTCTTCTCTATCACACCGTCCCCTTGGAGCTTCTTTCTCTCACCTCCTGTTTTCCCTAAAGTTCCCTCCTCATGGGGGTTGTCCTTCTGTATATATGTTTCTCTTATTGGTTGATGAATAAAACCCTGTGGCCAAAAGAGGCAGGGAGATAGGTGAGAGTAGGAAACGAGGAGAATTCTGGGAAAAGCCGGCCAGAAAGAGTCACCCTGTAGCCAGCAAAGGAGTTGCAGGACAGGGCATTCTCCAGTAAGCTAAGACCATGTAGAAATACTTAGATTAATAGAAATGGGCTATTAATTAAGACAGAGCTAGCCAATAGGAAGCCCTAGTCATTGGCCAACAGTTGTATAATTAGTATAGTGTCTGTGTTTATTTGGGACTGAGAAGTGGCGGCAAGACAAGACTCTCCACAACACCCTCCCTTCTGTGTGGGCCTTTCTCAACAGGGCAAAAGAGACTTCTGTGGCTTTACTTTATGCCCATGCATAGCAGCCCCTTCGAGAACACAGAACTGGAGCCTGCTAAGTTTGGGATACAAATACCACTATTCCCCTCTGGTGGTGTGGCTGGACAGAGCGGTCTCATTCCCAAGTATGGGATGTGCATACTGCCTGTGTTGAATGAATGGATTGTATGGGGGGTCACACATGGAAATGAAATGCAATTCTGATGGCAGTGACCGTAGGTGCAGCAGCTCTGGAGTGCTTGTAAGGATCTGTGTCACAGGCTGCTGAATCTCAGTGAGATGAACGCCCTTCTAGAAGACATGAGACCTAGCCATGCCACCAACTGCACAGGCTAGATGCAGATACAGTCATTCATTTCTCCTCCCCATCCACCACTACACGGAGGAGTATGTGTATAAGCCCAACTCCAGAGAAAGACAGAGAGAGGGAGGAGAGTATGTGTGTGGATGGAAACACTACTTTCTCACCTTTCTTCTTGGATTCCTTCCCTGTAGCGAGGGAGAAGCTCAGACAGGCTGTGGAAGTCTGGTAGACCAGCTGGTAAGGAGTGTTTACTCCCATGGCAGAAATGTTCATGGGTGATTCTAGGGAAAAAGAACAAATCTTCTTTACCATCTTTTAAAATGTCAGTTAAATTACAATATATATTATATTATAGTTTTCTTGTTTAATCAAACAAGAAATGTGGGCCACATATTGCCAAGTAACCTGTAGTCATAAACCAACCAGGAAGTCTTCTGAGGAAAGACTTCTAGGCATATAAGTGAGCTCAGAAGAAGGAAGCAACATCTTAAGGCTCCCCTTTACAGGCTTCCCCACCACAACCTCTCAAGGGTGAAGAGCCTCTAACACTTACATAACAAGTAGAAAGCAAGCACAGGGCAAATTCCTCTAAGGGCAAGTGCAAATGTCGGTGTGGCACTAGGTGTAGACAAACCTAGGCACCAAGGTGGAAGGAATGAGAGTGGGCTCTCCTGTTATCTAATGCATGGCAATCAAATCTTCTCCCAACAGCCTCTCAGTCCCACAGTATCACACTGTCTCCTTGCCACCATCTGATATGCGGCTACTTAGTTCTAATGTAGCACCCTTGGCCACATTGGGAAGAGGAATAAATAAAGAGGTCCACTGACCTCTCCCAACCCACAAGTCCATCTTCAGTGTACTAACATGAGGCTTAGGTTTAGATAGAGAACAAGAATTATATATTACTAAACAGTCCTGCCCAAGGTGCTGGCCTGCCCTACACTGACAAAACATTGCTTCTAAGCTATGTCCTGCAAGTTGTCTGCTCTGTGTGAAATCTCTTTCTTGGAGACAAGTTTCCACACTGATTGGCACAAGGCCCAAGTCTTTTCCTTCTCAGGCATGAGACTCCTGGGGAAATCCCCATTCTTTGGGGTTCATTGTGTCAGTAGTCTGACAGCCACAGGGAAGAGCACAAATGGTCTCTGTAGATTATATGCACTCCTAGTTACAATCTTAAACAAAGTCCACTGCCTCATTCACTTGTTCTTTCCCCAGATACAGTTATGTTACAGTTGGGCATGAAACCAGTATTGGAAAATGCTCAGAAATTCACTCAACACACTCAAAAGTCATAGACTCAACCTCATTAAGCAGACAAAGATTATAAATAGAGCCTTCGCCCTGGATGATCAAACCACAAGAAAAATCACTTTTGCTAGTGTTTCTGGTATTAAAGTTAAAACAGCTTTCAGTACCTTCTACTCTAGAAAAGTGAGTAATAACTGATGCTGGTCAACCTGTCCATGTAGAGAAAAATCACGTAGAAAGTTATGCACAGACTGTGACCCTCTGCCTCAGTAATCTCTCACCTGGCAAATTAATCTTAATCAATGCAACAGAAGGAAAAGGCGATGAGCATACAGTTGCATATAGAAATAGAAGCAAAAAGCATGTAAAGCTACGATCTCGGATAAACATGAAACTTGAGTGTTGGGGGGAATCTGCCCCCACTCACATGGCAAGTGTTGCAAACCATACAGCCACCCTGGCAATCATTTTCAGCTGACTATGTAATAGAAACAGAGACAATGACAGTAATATCAAAACACATATGCATAAACCAAGATAACAAGAGTGTTTTTGTTTTGGGATATTTTATTCAGTAATGTCACTGTCAAATGAGAATAAAAGAGCAGTGGTGTTTGTCTGTGCCAAGTGTGTCAGGACAGGAAGACAACCAGGAAGCAGTCTACAACCAAGGAAATGTCATCTTAGCAAAGGGTAAGTTCTGGCTAGATTTAAGGAGATATGCCAGGCATACTTACTAGTATGTAAGAAAGAGATTTCACACAGAGCAGACAACTTGCAGGACATAGCTTAGAAGCAATGTTTTGTCAGTGTAGGGCAGGCCAGCACCTTGGGCAGGACTGTTTAGTAATATATAATTCTTGTTCTCTATCTAAACCTAAGCCTCATGTTAGTACACTGAAGATGGACTTGTGGGTTGGGAGAGGTCAGTGGACCTCTTTATTTATTCCTCTTCCCAATGTGGCCAAGGGTGCTACATTAGAACTAAGTAGCCGCATATCAGATGGTGGCAAGGAGCCCATAAAAACACAAATTTTGCAACAAACTATCGTACTTTGAAGTAATGCACTGGGAAATCTAGCTAATTCAAACTCTGAGTCAAATGAATGCTTTCCCAAAAGAAATAAATGTATTGTTCCTTCCATTGCATTTGACTATTTTGCCCCCCTACACACACACACACACACACACACACACACACACACACACACACACACACACCCTTTACCCCAAAAAACCCTCAAAGCTTTTTAAAAGAGAAGACTTTATCTTTTAAAAGAGCCTGATGATGAGCCAAGTTCAATCACAGAGCCTGACTAATGATGCTAAGAGAGAACAGACTCCATAGAGTTGTCCTGTGACCTCCACATATACACATCTTACACACATATACAATAGCAATAAATACAAATTTTCAAGTGAGAGAGATGAACATCTGCACCAAGAGTCAGCCAGTGAGAGATTTTTGAGTGAGCTCCATGATGAGAGGGGCTTTCTCATTCTCACACACACACACATGATGCTCCAGGTCACAGTCCAGCTCAATTCTCTTCTTATTATCACCCCATAAATTATAAGCTCTGAGGGATTCAGAAGGTCTGTGCCTTAGAGACAAAAGCCCGTGTTCCTGAAAATATGTTCAAAGTACTTTATGAGATGGAATACAAGTTATCTTTTAAAGACAGTAAGAATTATCCCTCAGAATCATCCTCAGTATCTACAAAACATTGGTTCATCTCCCCCCCCCCCCTCTCTCCCTCTCTCTCTCTCTCTCTCTCTCTCTCTCTCTCTCTCTCTCTCTCTCTCTCTCTCTCTCTCTCTCTCTCTCTCTCTCTCTCTCTCTCTCTCTCTCTGTGTGTGTGTGTGTGTGTGTGTGTGTGTGTGTGTGTGTGTGATGGGTACGTCCTTCTATGTATATGGTTCTCTTATTGGTTAATGAATAAAACACTGTTTGGCTAGTGGCCAGGCAGGAAGGATTTGCAGGGCTACCAGACGAGGAAAATTCTGGGAAGGGTAGGCAGACAACAGTCACCATGTGAATGGCCAAAGGAGTTAGAGGTCTGGACCCTTCTCCAGTAAGCCAAGACCTTATGGAAATACATAGATTAATAGAAATGGGTTAATAAATAACAGAGCTAGCTAATAAGAAGCCCAAGCAACCGACCAACAGTTTTATAATTAGTATAAGTCTTTGTGTGTTTATTTGGGGCCCCAGGGCAGTGGGAAAAGCTGGGACAAAGAACCACTCATAACTGTGTGTGTGCGGGTGTGTGTGTGTGTGTGATGGTGTGGTTGTGTGTGTGTGTGTGTGCGTGTGTGTGTGTGTGTGTGTGTGTGTGTGTGTGTGTGTGTGTGTGTGTGTGTGTGTGTCAGTGCCTGATCAGATCCCCTAGAACTAGAGTTAAGGGAATTTGACATGGGTACTGGTAGATGGACTCAGGTTCTCTGCAAGAATAGTGTGTACTCTAACTAACTCTGTCTCCTTTATCTTATTTCTGAGACAAGCATCACTGAATTGGCTAGACTGGCTAGCCAGTAAGTCCCAGGCATACTCAGCACTGGTATTACTGGTGATCTGAACTCAGGTCCCAATGTTTTGTATGACAAACACCTTGCTGAGCTATCTCTCCACCTAGTACATTTTGTTATCTTCAGGTGGCTCATGATCCTTAATATGAATGTTATGTCAGTGGTTGCCATGTGTTATTTAGGAAATAGCAAGGAGGGGAAACAGAGGCAGTTTGGGTTTTTTTGTTTGTTTGTTTTGTTTTTTTGAGACAGGGTTTCTCTGTGCAGCTGTGGCTGTCCTGAAACTCACTCTATAGACCAGGTTGGCCTCTAACTCAGAAATCTGCTTGGCTCTGCCTCTGGAGTGCTGGAATTGAAGGTGTGTACCACTACCACCCAGCCAGAGACAATCTTTTAAAAGCATTTTTAAAGGTTTTGTTACTATTTTATATATGTGTGTATTTTGTCTGCATGTCCTCTAACATTGCTGTAAACACTGGGTGGGGAGTGATTGACACACAGAGAGTTCTATACTCTGTGCTCTGTTTCAGGACTTATACACTTCTGTGGCATCCAGGTCTTTTACAGGAATGTGAAAGTATGTCATAAGACCTCATAGGAGCCAGCCAAATCCTTGAGATTTTCCTTCCTGAGTAAGGGCAGCCCTATATCCACAGATCTACATATGTAGGTTCAGCCAGTCAGCAATGAGGGTGCAGAGACACAGCTTTAGTTGTCTCCCTCAGCAGCCTGAAGCAGGAAATGTTTATACTCAGGCAGAACTGGGAATCATGGTTGCTCAAAAGAATTTTAGGACCAGCAGAGTTGGCAATTTTATTGAAGGTGTTTGAACATAGTATTAATGAGGGTTTAGAAGAAGAGAGCCACTAAGAAGAAAGTAAGACACACGTTTGTTTGGGGGGCCGTGCTTTCAAGTAACAGCAGGGGAAAATAAGATATATGCAAGTGTGGGTAGGGGTTCCTCAAGAGAGAGAGACAATTCATTGTCTTAGTATTCGCCATATATACCATTTGATGGCTCTCAAGTTACACCTCAAAAGGTTACTACAGTTTTCCTCCCCTTTTCTTTCTTTTTCTTTTTCTTTTTCTCTTTCTTTCTTTCTTTTTCTTTCTTTCTTTCCTCCTCCTCCTCCTCCCTCTCCTCCTCCTCCTCCTCCTCCCTCTCCTCCTCCTCCTCCTCCTCCTCCCTCTCCTCCTCCTCCTCCTCCTCCTCCCTCTCCTCCTCCTCCTCCTTTTTTTTGATAAGAGATAGTGAGGTGGCTCCAGCCATGCCTTGGATAAGATTATTATCTGAAGAGGTAAAACCAGAAGCCACTGTAGCTGCACAAGGGGTTTGTTACATGTCCTTTCCCATAAATGGGGTTTCTGGTGAGATTCCTAGAAAGTTTCCACTTTACATCTGGGAAAGGGAAAGGCCTTGAGTGGCACAGTCACCTGTGATAAAATTCTTGCTTTGCTGGTGGGAGGTTGCAACTGCATTCCAGGGTGAAGGGGTCCTCTTCTCATGCCCCTAAAATTTTCCTTGCCCCAGACCAACCATAGATTAAAGATATTTTTAAGGGGGCTGAGAGATGGCTTGGCAGTTAAGAGCACTGGCTGATTTCTCATAATAACCCAGGCTCAGTTTCTAGCACCCACATGGAAGCTCATAACCATCTGTAACTCCAGTTCCAAAGGATCTGATGTGTTCTTGTCTCCATGGGCACCAGGCATGTATGTTGTGCATAAAGTAAATCCCTTAAAATGGACATCTCTATTTCTTCTTCCTCTGAAAGGAAGAAATGTCAGACTGGACGTTTATCTTAGGAAAGGAAACTTGAAACTTATCAAAATAGCCTTATTTTATCTTGTTTAACAAATTCTATGCCATGTTGTGCTAATCTTACAGGATTTAAAATGGAGTGCTGAGTTTTTGTTTGATTTTCTTTTCCATGAATAATTGTTTAAGGCAAGAAAACATGGGTTCCTTTGCGTCTGACTAAGAAATACTCCAGGGCTTTCTTGTTTGGTACAAGAATCTAACTTTTTGGTTGCTCTGCCTCCTTCCCCACGGTGGGGTGTCTGTGTCACCCAGCCTGTGCTGGAACTTCTTCAGCCCCGCTTCACCCCACCACAGCATGCGCCAGCATCTTTCATCAACTTCCATGAAATCCCAAGGAATTGAATTGCTCTGGATGTGTCTATCATTACCAGGTATTTAACCCCAGTCATCAGGGGAGCTTGACAAAGTCACTGCTTTGATGGCAGGGAATAGCGCTAATGGGTGACTGACTGCACAGGTGACAGAGCAAGGGTATAAGATTTGTTCTGAGGTCTAATGACAGGACTGCTAAGCATTCAAATGAACACTAGTGTACCAAACCAAGCTGAAGTTATAAAACGTCATGGGAGAAAACTGATTGAAAAAATGGACCAAGGTCAGAATGAATATTTGCCGAAGACATACAAATGGCCAACAATATATGAAAAAAGGTTTAAAGTTATTAATTATCAGAACATAAATCAAAGCTACAATGAAATATCATTTTGTCACTTTTATCAAAAAATAAAAGAAAAACAATAGCAGGATGGTAGTGGCACGTGCCTTTAATCTCAGCAGTTGGGAGGCAGAAGCAGGAGGATTTCTGTGAGTTTGAGGCCAGTCTGGTGTACAGAGTTAATTCCAGGACAAGCCAAGGCTACACAGTGAAACCCTGTCTCGAAAACAAACAACAAAATAATAACAAAATAATTAATAAAAATAAAACAATAACAATGCTAATGAGGGCATGGAAAAAAGAGTTTTATAATTGTGGTAGCTTTGTAACTGAATATAGCCGTAATAAAGATTTCCTGAGCAATTAAAACTGCTGTGCAGAGTGGCACACACCTGTAATCACAGCACTTGGAAATCTAAGGCAGGAAAATTACAAGGTAATGGCTAGGTAATAAGACCCTGTATCAAACAAAACAAAACAAAAAACCCAAAATTTAAAATAAGAACTACTGTATGGCAACCCCACTTGTAGGTATATATCCAAAGGAAATGAAGTCAGTGTCATAAAGAGATGTCTGTATACCCATGTGCACTGCAGCATAATTCCCAACTGCCAAATGGGATCAGCCTGAGTATCCATCAGAGAATGAACAGATAAAGAAAACGTGATAAATATATAGAGTGGGATTGTATTTGGTCTTAAAAAGTAACGAAATCCCACCATTTATACCAAGATACAGGAGCTTAGAGGTCATTATGCTAAGTGAAATAAGCCAGGCACCAAAGATAAATCCTGCAAGAGCTCACCCATGTGTGAGATCTAAAACATTTGAACTCACAAAAACAGAAAGAATAATGGTGGTTGTTGTGGATGTTCAGGGTGATGTTGGTATTGGTATAAACTTTCCTGAGTCCTAGGATCAAATAGCAGCATGGTGGTGTTGTCACTTTTATTGTATAGTATACTTGATATTTGCTAAGAAGGTAGGTAGAGCTTTGCTGTTCTTTTCACACACACAGGTAAGTAGGTGAAATGAAGACATAGCACAAACATTGAACTGCTGACCTGAGTGAATTGTGGTATTGCAGATCTTGCTCCCCTACCTCCACATCTCCAAAGATCACCTCCTCTAATGTTTCTCCTCCTGTTCTGTATACCTGTATTTTATGATATATTCATAAACACCTTTGCTTATATTAAACTATTAAGGAGATCACCACAAACACATCCTTTTACAACTTTTTTTCTTTTGCCAGATGCTATTTTTTGAGAATTACCTATGCTGCTGAGTTGCTTAATGCTTTAGGGTGGGGACACAGGGTCTCATGTAGCCCAGACTGGCCTAGAATCCTTGTGTAGCTGAGAAGTATCTTGAACTCCTAATCCTCCTGCCTCTACCTGAGTGCCAGGATGGCAGGTGTGTGTGTGTGTGTGTGTGTGTGTGTGTGCCCAGTTTGATTTACTAATTTTTGTTGCTCACTATGAAACAGTATCTGCATGGGCCATAATTTATTCATCTCCATTGATGGACACCTATTTCTAGTCTTTCTTTCTTTCCAAATGATTCTGTAATAAGCATTCCTTTAGGACTGCTTGTATGCATGGGGCTGAGTTGTGGCCAGCAGATGGGAGCTGATTCTCATATGCCATGAACAGATGAGCTCAGAACTGACAGCAATCTGAGTAGTGACTTCATTGTTGTGACATTTTTACCATGTGTACTAAAGGGCTGGTGTGTAACAGATTGGAAACTTTAGAACCTTGACCATAGTCAGTTGAGAAACATACTCTAGAAGGACCTGAAAGAGAGGCCAGGCTGTGAGTTATGAGGTGAAGACATTTCCACCAACAAACAACTAGGCTGCTCTTCCACCAGAGGTGCATGAGCCTTCCTTGCCAGCAGCATAGTATCTACGGCTCCTGCTGTTCCACGGCCATCTCAGCAAATGGGAGCTTTGGCCTTTCAACTGCAGCTGTTGACTGCCTAGCACCTTCTTGTTGGCTTGTTTTGCACTTTTTCCCTACAGGAGGGCACCCACCTTTCCCCAGCTGTGCTGCACTAAGGCAGCTTTTTCCAACAGTACCAATCAGGCAGTCAAAGGCCATCTCCTTGGCATTGAGATGGAGGAGCTGGCTGGCCTCCACAAAGCGCTTGGTGATGTCCAGAGGATTGGCGCCTGCTGAAGGAATGAGCAAAGACAAAGTGTTTGCCTCCTGGCATGATGACTTTTCCAGAAAAAGACTTTTGCAAATGCCCCAGGAAATAAAGGTAAAGATTTGCTCCTGGTGTAAGGGTTAGGAGCTCCTGGCATGCACACTCAATTGAGCAGAGAGCTCAAGATCCAGCAGGCAGCACTTCACTCACGGTCCACCTGCTTGTCCACCCACCTGCTGTCTCCCTGCCCACAGCTGAGCACCGAGGCCTCCAAGAGGCTGCTGCTGACAATGCTTTAGGTTCTTCTCCAGCCTTAGAATGATGCTCTCAGCTTGGAGGCCCTAGGCTCAGAATTTCCTTGGCATTGGCTGGACTAGGCTCTTGATTCACAAATTCTATGTCTCTACTCTTCAATACAGGTCTTTCCACCTCGGCACCATCACCTCTAACATCTCACTGCCACCACTGCTAACTTTTGAATGGGCACTCCAGAGATGGATGACTGGGAGGGAAGTGGGAGAGCAGAGGGGGGAAAGGGAGGTTTCTGCTCAGGGAAGAGGGAAGCACAGTTCTTGTAGCAGGCCCATGGCCACCATCCTAGTGCATACTTACATAGGTTAAGTATGCCTTATCCCAGGGCTTGGAGCCAAAAGGCAGGGTGGGGGGCGGGGGGCCATTTTGGGAGAGGTTGGGGTTTGGAAATGTCTTCCTGTACATATCTGGGGATAGGATGCAAAGATATGGTATTCTCTGATGTTTCACGTGCACCCTGACTGCAGGCATGCAAATCATCACAAACTGTCAGCTATGGAATATTCTGTGGCATTATGGGAGCACTCAACATCCTCAGACTGCACAGTATTTTAGATTCTGGATTGTGGATACTCAACTCATACCTGTTGGGATGAATGTAGTGTATGAGGGCACCCCCCCACACACACACACCACCTACCTGTGCAGAAATGGAAAGGAATCTGTGAGCAACCTTACCAGAGGCAGACTCCACCATGGCCTTCATCTTCAGGGAAAGTCTCTCCGTCAACAGGTGGATGGATTGCCGCTGGAACTTGTGCA